ATTAGCTGGTTTGGTGTGAGAGAAAAATATTATTCCAGCTTATAATCCACGATCGTTTACAACCGAACAGGCTGCTTGTCAGCAGTGAATGCAGGTGATGCCACGGCGAGGGAATGCTACTGACTAACTACTTGGCCTGCACGCATACGGCATGGCGGCCGCCGGCCAATCGGCAGTCGCGGGAGCAACAAGGACGTACTGTCAAGGACTAACCGTGCATCCAATTCTATCGGTTGCCCATCGCTAGCTGTCTGGTGTCGGGATTCTGAAGAGAGATTAAGATAATGTAGCTGATTTTAGCTGAACATATCTGAACCACCGACAGCCCACGAGGACAGTGTTAGTTGGTTAGTTTCTGGGCTGATAAGTTCGACTAGTGCTGGTTTGTTGTGAGAGAAAAACACTATTGGCTGCCTGATAAATCCTGACTGAAACCGACCAGCGAACAGACTGGTTGTTACACGAGTGCCTCCTGTTCCTACGTGTAATTCCTGTAGCTGTAGGACTAGACTGTGTCCTTTTTCTTTTTAGGAAGTTCATGACGAGTGCACAGTCCACTCAACGATCGACCTGCTGTACAGGTTGTCCACTCGGACATTGCTCGATTTCGATAATCACAGTTACGAGCTTCTTCCATGTTCCATGTGTCGTTCGTGCTGTCAAGACTAGGCAACTCTCCAGTAGAATCATCACTAAATTGTGAAGGCTTGTTGCTTTCTGATCATAGGAACATGCCAGAGACATAGCAAATTAGCAATGCACGACGGTAGCTGCACCATACGCTATCATATAGCCATACACTTGTAAAGTTGCAGGCTTGCAGCACGCAATTGCGGGGTACAGCAGTACACGACACATCGTCCAGCTCCACCGCGTGCCTCGCCTCGCAAATCGATTGGCCCGAAGCCGAAGCGCGCGACACGGTGCCCATTCCGCCGCTAGGCGCTAGCCTAGCTCGCGCCGCGCCGGTCTGTTCCCCAACAGGGACTAGGCAACCACCGGATCGATCGGGTACGGACCGGCCGTCTCCATGAACGATGGACAACAAAATCCAAAATGAGCTACCAAAAAATCTAAAATCAGTCTCTAACAGATTATCTATATGGGAGATTTATTTTGAATTGCCTGAGATGCACAACCTAAATATGGACATCCTCTCTCCTGAAAACCTATTTACAGAAATGATTCTCTTTTAAATTTTGTTGTTGGAGAAGATACCAAATAGATATCGAACATTTTACCTGTAGCGCTACCAAAAAGATGAATATGTCTTGTATTTTGGGTGGTGTCCCAATGTAACCACGTCCTACGTGGCGTGTCCCCATCGATAAATAGCCGCCGGTCCGGTGCACGCCGTCGCAGCGCGTCTCACAACCGTGTGCCGGACGGAATGGCGACCATCGTAATCACGCTCCGTTGCATGGCGTGGCCGTGGCTGTTGGCGTTGGCATGCTTCGCCTTCGCCTTCGCGACGCTGTGGGCGCCGGCCGCGTCGGCTGAGACGGCGGCGGCGTACATTGTGCACATGGACAAGTCGGCCATGCCTCGGGCGTTCTCGAGCCACCAGCGGTGGTACGAGTCGACGCTGTCCGCGGCGGCGCCGGGCGCCGACATGTACTACGTGTACGACCACGCGGCGCACGGGTTCGCGGCGCGGCTGCGGGGCGACGAGCTGGAGGCGCTCAGGCGCTCCCGCGGGTTCGTGTCGTGCTACCCCGACGACGCCAGGGTGGTGCGCCGCGACACGACGCACACGCCCGAGTTCCTCGGCGTCAGCGGCAGCGAGCCGGGGGGACTGTGGGAGACGGCAGGGTACGGGGACGGCATCATCGTGGGCGTGGTGGACACCGGCGTGTGGCCCGAGAGCGCCAGCTTCCGAGACGACGGCGGGCTCGCGCCGGTGCCCGCGCGGTGGAAGGGCGTCTGCGAGTCCGGCACGGCGTTCGACGGCGCCAAGGCGTGCAACCGGAAGCTCATCGGCGCCCGCAAGTTCAACAAGGGACTCATCGCCAACGAGAACGTGACCATCGCTGTTAACTCCCCGCGCGACACGGATGGACACGGCACGCACACCTCGTCCACGGCCGCGGGATCGCCGGTGCCCGGCGCGTCCTTCTTTGGCTACGCACCGGGCACCGCGCGCGGCATGGCGCCTCGCGCTAGGGTGGCCATGTACAAGGCCCTCTGGGACGAGGGCGCGTACCCGTCCGACGTACTCGCCGCCATCGACCAGGCCATCGCGGATGGCGTCGACGTCATCTCCCTCTCCCTCGGTTTTGACGACCAACCGCTGTACCAGGACCCCATCGCCATCGGCGCGTTCGCCGCGATGCAGCGGGGCGTGTTCGTGTCCACCTCCGCGGGCAACGAAGGCCCCGACCTCGGATTCCTCCACAATGGTACGCCGTGGACGCTTACCGTCGCGGCGGGTACGGTGGACCGGGAGTTCTCGGGCGTCGTGACCCTCGGCGACGGCACCACCGTCATCGGCGAATCACTGTACCCGGGCAGCCCGATCGCGCTCGCGGCCACCGCGCTCGTCTTCCTCGACGCGTGCGACAACTTCACGTTGCTCTCCAAGAACCGTGACAAGGTCGTCCTTTGCGACGCCACCGCCTCCCTGGGCGACGCCGTCTCTGCATTGGAACGGGCCCAAGTGCGCGCGGGCTTGTTCCTGTCCAATGACTCGATCAGGGTGCTCTACGAGGAGTTCTCGTTCCCGGGCGTCATCCTGAGCCCACAAGATGGGCCCCTGCTGCTCCAGTACATACGAAGCAGCCTCGCGCCAAAGGCGGCCATAAAGTTCGAGGTGACCATCCTGGGAACGAAGCCCGCGCCGATGGTGGCGGCGTACTCGTCGCGCGGTCCGTCGGGGAGCTGCCCGACGGTCCTCAAGCCAGACCTGATGGCGCCGGGCTCGCTGACACTGGCCTCGTGGGCGGAGAACATCAGCGTAGCCTCCGTCGGATCAACGCAGCTGTACAGCAAGTTCAACATCATCTCCGGCACGTCCATGGCGTGCCCACACGCGTCCGGGGTGGCCGCGCTGCTCAAGGCCGTGCACCCGGAGTGGAGCCCGGCCATGGTCCGGTCGGCGATGATGACGACGGCCAGCGCGCTGGACAACACCGGGGCGTCCATCAAGGACATGGGCAACCGCAACCACCCCGCGTCGCCGCTGGCGATGGGGTCCGGCCACATCGACCCGACCCGCGCCGTGGACCCGGGCCTGGTCTACGACGCCGCGCCGGGGGACTACGTCAAGCTCATGTGCGCCATGAACTACACGGCCGCGCAGATCAGGACCGTCGTCGCGCAGTCGCCGTCGTACGCCGTCGACTGCACCGGCGCGTCTCTCGACCTCAACTACCCGTCATTCATAGCGTTCTTCGACCCCGACGGCGGCGCCGTCGAGCGGACGTTCACCAGGACCGTGACCAACGTCGGCGACGGGCCTGCGAGCTACAGCGCCAAAGTTACGGGCTTGAACGGCTTGACGGTGATCGTGAGTCCGGACAAGTTGGCCTTCGGCGGCAAGAACGAGAAGCAGAAGTACACGCTTGTGATCCGGGGGAAGATGACGAACAAGAGCGGAGATGTGTTGCATGGTGCGTTGACGTGGGTGGACGACGCGGGCAAGTACACCGTCAGAAGTCCCATTGTCGCAACCACCGTGAGCTCAGATCAGTTTTAGAATCCCGACGTATATATAGCATATATATTTGTTCAAGTCGATATTAGCTTGAGGCAAGTAAAGCTAGCTTGACAACAACTGAGCAAACATAACTGTTCAGTATGAAAATTGCTTTGCATAAAAGTATAAAACCATACTACATCATTTATGAGCTTCATTGCAAGTGACAACACAATTGTTGACCTTTTAATCATCATACGTCCATCATTTATGCACTCAAATGCTTCTCTCAGGCTGGTCTCAGTGATGAGTTTCATGGTATTGTTTCCAAAACTGCCATGTCTTGTAAAATAAAATGGAACATGGATGAAACACCCACTCTTGATGAAGAGTTTCATTCTATGGTTCTATAGACATTTAATTACACGACTCATAGAGAGTTGGTAATCATGCCAAGAAAGTTTCATCCTCATGAAACTCACTTCTCTCTCTTTTTAAAACGTTGCCACATCATTAAAACACTTATGTGACATCCTATTAAATGCAAATAAAACTCTGATAAAACTTCCACTGAGACTGACCTCAGTGTCGAAAGTTCCGCATGATGAAAAAGAAGAAGAAAACGAAGCATCTCAGATGACCTTGTTGTAGCTAAGTAGACGACAGGTGACTATAAGCATGCTTTGATTTCCATGTAATCCTCTAAAAATGGATGACGATTTAGAGGGGCTTACTATATGTCACCTTACCAACACGACTCAAAGCAACCAAAAAATTTATATGATTAACCTTTCTTCCATGCAACTAATGAGAATTTTAGAGGTGCTTACTGTACGTTGGGACTAGGACACAAAACAGGCGGCAAGAGAAAAGAGTGACACCTCACACCAACGGACAACCAACAAGGGGTTTCGCCCCCTCTTTAGGACTCCTTTGGAACATATTAATTTCACAGAATCAATTTATTTTCAAAGGAAAAACACGGAAAACAGGAAAAAAAAGTTTCACGCTTTCCAAAGATGGCTTAATCTCCCACAACAGCAAGGGCAATGAACGAGTTTCTATTTGTTCCATCCAAGGTGCCTTAATCTCCCACAACGGCAAGGGCAAGGAATGAGTTTCTATTTGTTCCATCGACAGTAGTTGTAACCTTAGAGCCCTGTTACTCATATTTCTTCTTAACAAAATTTGTTTACCATGTCCGATTTTGATCTTACGGCACTGGACCAAGACTAGAAGGCAAAGACAATACATCGCTATTACAGACACAGTTCAAACTTAAGCTGGAAAGATGATTTCACAATAAAAACTGCAATACTAGGTCTCCTGCCTTCACTCTGATCCAGTATTGATGTGTCTCCTGCCTTCACTCTGATCCAGTAGCCATCAATAACTCTCCTTCGCATACTAGGTCGGCACCAACGTAAGCTTTCCCTTCCATCTTTGCAATTCCAAATCTCTTCTGCAGCTTGATCAGAGTCATTCTCATGATCAAGGTGTCTCCAGCAATCACAGGCTTCCGAAACCTTAGTTTATCAATCCCCGCAAAAAAGTTCTCTCGAGATCCACCTACTTCAGGCTGCAACATCACTATTCCACCAACCTGGGCCATTGCCTGCAAATCATGGTAAACAACTGTCTCATACCAGTGTCAGTGTTTTCGGACCACCGACGAGTAAATTTGTATTTACGCGTCTGGCTCGGATTGTATGCTCGGAGAACACAAGAGCTTATACTGATTCAGGCAGAACGTCCCTACTTCCAGTTTGCTGTTGCTCGTGTTACCGGCACTAGGTTTGCAGTAGGTGTTACAAATAGGCGAGAGAGGGAAATGATCCCAAGTCTCTAGTGGAAGGAGTGAACGGGTGCTGAGAGCTCGATCGCTGCTCAGCCGTGTGTTCGTGTCGTGCTCTTGTGTTTTTATCTCGTGGTTCGGTTTCGAGTAGCTCTGGATCGATCGGGTCCCTCTTCATGGGGCGTCCTGCTTACTCTTTTATAGGTGAAGGGAAAACACGGGTTACAGCGGAGGAAAATGAGAAGAAACGAGAGAGAGGAAGGCTTCCAGAATCGCCGGGTCTTTCTTCTCCTTCATGCGGGTCCCGCCGATCCTGTAGATGTCAACAGGGATGGCTACACGTCGCGGCCCTGTTCGTAATGCTACATTGACTTGGTTTGAACTGTGGCATAGAGTGTTTTCATGGCAGTGGAACCTAAATAAAGGTTGTATTTCATCTTATGTAGAACAAACTTTGTTTAATGGTCAAGAGCTAAATCAGTGCCTAGCTTAGCCAAACAGAGCTCACAAGAATCAACAAAATGCTGTTTTGGAATCCCGAAATTTGGCTAAGTCTGGGATGACTGAATTTTCGTGTTTCCGTTTTCATGTACCTGTCTTTGGTGAATTTTAGTTTGCAAACCATGTCGATTTTGGCCAAACTCCTTTAATAAAGGTTGTAGTACTCACGTAGCACTATAACAAGGAGAAATTTATTGCTCAAATCATCAAATGGTTTGGGACATATTGAGGGGAGAAGTTGGAGGTTTCAGTCGGCTTGAAACTGAATTTAGTTTTCAAGTTTCGTAAACCCCACTTTGAAACCTTGTATCTCTCCAACCAGGCTGAATTAGACTTTGGCACTTTAAGCAAAGTTGGAGATCTCGCGTAGCGCTACAACTTTTATTACTACCGCTTGTGCAAAACTAAACGTATTAGGAGTTACGAAGGGAGAAAGATTGAGGTTTCAATGTATTTTTGAGGTGGTATTGCTATCTTCGTAGTTGATTTTGAACTGGAGCTTGGCCGATCGTGGGCAGGCGCTGCAGGCCGCGTGGCGCCCTCGCTCACCCTCGCTGCTTGCATGGCCGCCAGCTCGCCACCTTGTCATGCTCAAGAAAAGGAAAACAGCGCCCTCTACTCCCTCTCTCGCTCGCTCGCCCCTCTCATTCTTGCTCTGTGCCTCGCTCTCTCTCTTGTGCTCGCCATGGCCGCCGTCGTTCCTCCACCTGCAAGCCTCCTCAGTCCCAATCGGCCTCACCTTCGCATTCCTCGAGCCACCCCGTGCGCGTCGCATCTCTTCCCGGCCGCCTCCACCGCCGTGCGCTGCTGCCGTCGCCGCCCGCTCGGTCGTGGTCACCAGCACACGCGGCCAGGCCGCTTCGGGCCACCGTGGTGCGAGCCGTGACTATCCACGGGAGCGCGCGGGCCCCTTGGTGCTCCGCTGCCACTCCACCGTCGCCGACGCACCTCCTCCGACAAGCTCCTGCGCGTCCCCTGCTCCAAAACCACGTCAGGGACCTCGCGCTAGAATTCGATGAAAGGGAAGGGTCTATTTGTGAAGTTTGTGACTCATTTGAATAGTGTCTAGAAGGACCCGCTTGCTGAAATTTGTATTAGTGAAAAGTTAGGGTCCTCGGTGCAAATCTATTTTTCTTTTATGGCTGAAACTTTGGAAAATCATAATCAATTGTAGAAAAATCATAAAATAACAAATGAGGACTTTTTAGAATCCTTTTGAGTAGATCTACACAGTAGAGTCATAATATGATATATGTTAGTAGAAAGTTTCTGATTTTTTATTTATTCTTGCAAAGTGCATTTAAAAATCCTTTTAAGTTGTCGGATGCATATCTTGAGTTATAGAAGTCCAATAATGGTCATTCTAGTTGTGTTAATCTTGTGATAATATGCTCTAGCTAAGTAAAATATTAAACATGCTAGTTGTGTACTATTTTTATCATGTTTTGATTTAATCTTGTTAAATAGGCAATTTTAGATTATTTTGCTTGTTATTTTCATATCTAAAGTTGTGTTACTCTAATTGATGTAAAATTTTTATGGTAGGCTACTGATGCTATGTGTGTATTGTGGTAAAAATTTTATAGTCATTAGATGCAGTATGATTTATTTATTGATTTAACTTGTTTATTGCTTGATAAATAGTTTTAAATAAGTTATAATTTTTATGTAGGTGTAAAAATGGAAAATATGGTTCTAATACCTTGGTATGATATTGTTATGTCATGTTGATACATAATATGGCCATGCATTTGCAGAAAATATTGAATTTCATATTTATCTTGCTTTTGCATGTTTTATTGCAATAGCATTTTGTCTTTTTCATAGTAATTAAAATATAAAACCTAAACATGTGATATTTATACAGTAGTCATGTTTCGATAACATCTCTCATCCATAAAAATCTCAGCTCCAAATGAGATGTTTGTCATATCACCTATAATTAATATATATGTTTTAGTATATAATTGGATAATGAAAGGTTACTAGTAGATGCATGCAATTAAGTCATGTGATGCTTTTAATAGATCTTGTTAAGTGATATATAAGATGCTAAGTTATGATAAGTAGTGGGTAAGCTTCAAATATAACTTATATGTATGCTCTCATGTTAATACAACAACTAGTGATTATGTTGCTTATACAAGTTCTTCATCCTTGCTTTAATTCTTGCTTAAAGTGTTTAGGGTGTTTCATGTTACCTAGAACCAATGCTAATTAACTAGGTTCATAGTAGTTGTGAGCTATGTGTTTAACTTATGCATATGTTGCCTTGTTAAAGAACTAAATGAGGAACCTTGTCGCTTACGTGCTGAAATTTCTACATGTATAGTTTTGGTTGTGCAATTAGTTTCGTGATGCAAATGATATTTTCTGTGAATATGATAAATACCAAAGTTGTAGATAACTTCATAATATAGCTTGTGTTAAATTTTCATGACCATAGGCCTGATAATTTAGGAGCTATAGATTTTAGAAATTTGCCATCAGGTTTTCGCATGTCCTTTGGACAGATCTGAATGATTGTATTGTTTGGCTCATTTTAACAAGGAATCATGTATTGGTGATAAAATAAGAAGTGTAGTAATTTTCATGAGCTTTCCAAATTGTTAAAGATCATCCCTTTTGGTGGTCTAAATCTTCAGCTATGAGCTTGTGAAGTGGAGTGATAGATTCTGTCCTAGTCTAGACAAAGATATCTTCTTTGTGATGTTTGACCTGGTTAACTTTAGAATTAGTTTATGGTGTTTATAACAAAGTTGTGCATGGTTTGCTAAGATTTCTAAAAAGCATAGACCCACCTTGTTGTGAAAAATAGAACTCAACTTATTGATGACTGAAGTTGCATGTCAGATTCAGTCCATATTTTGAACATAATTGTTGTTTTGTGTGTTTAAGGCTAAATAATTGTTGAATCACCTAAAGATGATAATAAGAAAGTTATATTTAACTTAGTAAGCTTTCTATAAAGTTAAGGATCATGCTTGTTGGATGAGTAGAAATCCAGTTATACATTTCTGAAGTTCATGTCAGTTTTCTGTTCTTATCGGTACAGACCTGAGATATTGGCATATTTGATCATGTTAACCTGTGAATTAGCTTTTCGAATAAATAACAAAGTTTTATATAATTTCATTAGCTTTACATAAAGTCTAGGGTCACCCTTGTTGGATGCTTATATCTCTAGTTATGGTTAAAACAAGTGACTGCTGTGCTGCTGTCCAGATTTCTATACATGTGCTAGGTGAGGCCTTAGTTTGCTCTTGTTTTGGCTAAACATGTTGGTTAGTTCTTGATCGATGCATGTGTGCAATATCTGAACTTAAGTTCACTTGTGTTCCATGCCTAATATGCTTGCTATCCCTCTATAATAGGTTGTGTGATGTTTAGTTAAATAACTCTAGGTGCCTCTGTCTTGCATGATCTTACGTTTGCCTTGAATGCTATTATGTGATGCCCTGCTGGAGTGATGTTTTTGGACCCAAAACTTAGATCTTGTTTGGTTCAAACCTTGAAGCAATTTTTGCATCAGAATTCTGACTTTTTACTCTTTATTATAGGTGAAGAAGATTTTACCTGTGATACATTTGTCTGTATTCGATGGAAACCTACCATACATTACCTGACTAGAAAAGCAATCCTAATCACAAGCGTCCAATATGAGCCATGCCTAATCCAAGTAAAAATTTCAAGTATAAGTCGTGGCTCCCGCTCGTCCTAAACTAGCTAATGTAGCAGCACTGTTCACAGGAGTTGTTTTTTTTCTCCTCGCAAAATGACCTAGAAGCCCGAAAAGCCACATTTTCAGACTCCTAGCATGGAGCCAGAGCCAGAGAGAGAGGTCCTTACTCATCCAAGCTAATGAAATCCAACTCCTAGCTCTGGCAAGTCATTGCCCAGCCTAATTACCATGATTAGTTAACTTAGTTTGATGGACTATGAGGCAAAGTCACGTAGCAATAGTTTTTCTCTTTTAACTCTTTCATTACTATGTTTTTAGCCAATCAGGTGGACGATTCTTATCTACTTTCATAAAGGGCGTACCCAGTGCAGAGAGTTCCTGCTCTGTGTGGGGTCTGGAAAAGGGTGTCAGTGACAAGCCTTACCCTCGCCTGTGCAATGCGAGGAGACCGCTACTCGAACCCAGGACCTTCCGGTCACAGGCGGTAAGACTCTACCGCTTGCACGAGGCCTACCGTTCCTTATCTACTTTCATGTGAAACTAAAATTACATGAACATATCAACAAAATAGAATACTTGTACATTAATCATGTATAGACAATACAAAAGTGAGTTTCCCCCTCGTATAAGCATT